CTGTGGTATATGGTGAAGCAGAGGGTGAACTTTCTGTAGGGGGCGTCTTCCTAAGAATCTTTATTGCCCAGCCGGCCTGGGTCCTTCGGAAACCTAGAGAATTTCTCATTGCCCTGTTAGAAAAATTCACTGAACTACTGGAGAAGAATAACCCCCATGTAAGTGCAGTTTCTAAGTTTGACTTCAGCTTTGTGTAGCTGTTAATTTAAGTTTTTGAAAATGGTGATAGGATCATTCTAAGTCATGTAAAGACCTTAAGGATGAAATAAATTCTGATTCTTTTCCAGCTTATGCTCACAAATTTAAAATTTAGTACTTCTCTCTATAGCAGCATTCACTGAAGTAAACTTACATAAGAATTACTGGGATTTTTGAGTAAATTTGTTAGTGTCTTTGTATTCTTTGTTCTGTAGTGGAATATTTTATATTGACTCACAGTTGAAGACAATAGAAGACATTAATATAGACTGAAATCAATGAAGACTATCAAAATGATTCCATAGTTTGGGGGCCTTGCAAATGTCAAAAATAAATAAGCAGCAGTACATCATGGAATATATGCATGATTCATTGTTCAGAACAACTTGTGTACATACAGTAAAAACTATTTATGCAGCTTGGATTTGCCCAGTGCAAGTTCCAAGCCATGAAAACTAGCTGGAGGTGTAGTTTAACAATAAGAGAAGCTTGTGTTCTAGATACAGTTTTAAGATATTCCATACATGTAACTTGTGAGTGTCATTCAGTCTTGTCTTTTAATCTGGTTACACATGGTTAAAATGTTATTTGTTAGGTCTGCCATTGTAATTTACTTTCTTTGCGTTTTGAAATAGGGGGAAACATTGGAAACAATAACAACAGCAACAGTGTGCCTCTTTAGCGCTCAGCCTCAGCTAGCAGACCAGGTTCCCCCACTGGGTCATCTTCCCAAGATTCTCCAGGCTATGAACCACAAGAACAATGCCATTCCTAAAAGTGCTATGCGAGTCATTCACATACTGTCTGATAATGAGGTATGCAGCCTTAAGTCACGAGGTTTGCCGACGTTAGGTCTTCTAGGAGAGGATCACTGTTTGGCTATAGTTACCTCTTTTGAGTTGTCGTGTGTCTCTCATTTATGAACTGATCATCCATCTTTGAGCTGAGACAAGTATTAGGCAGAGTGAGCCTGGTTGGATACAAAATAAATAGTGTAAAAACACATAGAGACCCTACACATTATATGAAGCTATCAATGTGGTCATTTTTTGAGGGCAGGTCTGTCTCATGCCCTATTGCCTGCATCTAGTCATTGAATATGGTGCCAACAGTCAATTACTTGTTCCAGTTAGTAGGGTGCAAGCAAGCTTTCTCCGTGAACAGCCTGAAATGGAACATGGAACAGAGCTCCTCAGAGAGATCCTAATATTTCACATGGATTGTCTCCTGAAGTCCCTTTGAACTCTCACCCAGGAATTTAAATAAATCTTTAACATGGGCAGCTAGCAACATTTTAGCTTTTAAAGGATATGGACTGTTTTGATAAAACTTATGACTGATAATAGTAAGCTTGTAATGCTACTTGTTTCTTAGTATATTATGTCCAAATCACCATGAGTTCAGTTATAAGATATTAATATTTGGCAAACTTTTTTTTATACAGCTTTGTGTTCGTTCTATGGCAGCGTTGGAGACCATTGGCCCTATGATAAATGGAATGAAGAAACGATCAGATACTGTTGGCATAGCCTGTGAAGCACTTAATCGAATGTTTCAAAAGGAACAAAACGATCTAGTAGTCCAAGTAAGCAAATGTGTAACTTTCTAATAAAGCAACACTTTGATTTATAATTATAGTCATGTATTTTTCCTATTGAATTCTCTGATACTGTATTGTCAACAATGTTACTTTATGGAGGTTGAGGTGGTGGGAATTTTTGTGTGTGATAAAGCTTATGTTGTTACTATCAAGTGTAAGGAATATGATGAATGAGTCCTCAAGAAATGACAGAATCCCCTAGTATTTATATTTAAATCAAAATTGGCAGGTATATAAGTAATGCAAGGTACGGTACTTTAAAAGAGACATGGAAAAGCTGGAACAGGTTCAGAGAAGAATTTCCATGATGACAATAGGCCTGAAATCAAGCCCTATGATGAGTGATTAAAGAAATGGAGGATCTATAGCTTGCAACAGAGAAGAATGATGGGAGATATGTTAGTTGTCTACAGAGATATAAAAAGATTCTCATGGGTAGGAAAGGGCAGACCTGTTCTCTGTTCATGTTGAATACAGGAGAGGAACCAGGGGGATGAAATTAAAAGACAGGAGATTCAGGCTGAATATTAAGAGACATTTCTTGACAGAGCTGTTAAGCTGTCTGCCCAAAACAGTGTTGTATCCCTCAAACAGGTTGGATGCCCACCTGTCAGGAATGGATTCTTACAGTGAGTTGGGGATTATATTACATGTGTAATCTTACACTACTATGACCCATAAAATTCCTTCCAGCTCATATATTCTACAGTATGATTCTACATTTGAACTCAATTTATATTCATTTGCTATTGAACTATTTTAAACTTGAGCTGAATAATCTCAAAAGACAGAAGTCTTATCTCAAAATGTCTTAGTCTGAACTTAAGAATACTCTAACATTGTCTTGCAGGCCTTGAAAGCAGATTTAGTACCCTATCTCCTAAAATTGCTTGAAGGTGTTGGCCTTGAGAATCTGGAAAGCCCTTCAGCTACAAAAGCTCAAATTGTTAAAGCACTGAAATCAATGACTCGCAGTTTACAGTATGGAGAACAGGTAAAAATCCCAAACGTGTTTTAAATTCATTTTAGAGCACATGAAATTAGGGGGCTTCATGTAACTTTTATTTTGAAAAGACAAGTTCTTCTGAGTGGTGCAGTTATAAAAACCGTGGTTATGGTAAAACCAAAAATCACACTGAGCTGATTTCCATAAGGATAAGTGTGCCCTCCCCAACAACCTGTAAATAAATGCAGCAAGTACAATGGACTTTTCTGTGAGTTTCCTTGCTTTTGTAGGTGAATGAAATCCTGTCTCGTTCTTCTATATGGAGTGCCTTCAAAGATCAGAAACATGACTTGTTCATATCTGAAACTCAGACAGCAGGTTACCTCACAGGTTAGTGTATATTTTCAGTGAGGGCTTATTGACTGTCCTTCCTTGTTTTGTTCATTGTGTTGATTTTCTGTCCTTGAATAACAGCTTAATTGACTTCCACTTCTAGTTGGTTTTCATGTGCAGAGTTGTTAATGAAGTTGTTACATGGCATAATACAGGCTAAAACAATGTTCCCATTCATCATTTCTTCAGATGGTTCCCATCTGAAGAAATTATTGTGAAAGCAATAACTAACACTTGGAGGGTCCAAGGAACAAATGAAAGGGTGACTTCCCTTTGAATCTAGCTTTAATTCTCAAAGGATTATGGGATTATGCTTCAAACAAGTAACACATCAGCCAAAAAATGTGATGGAGTTATGCTTCACTTTTGCTTCAAAGTGCTTTGCCATCTGTACTTCCCTTGCTTCTGGTTTCTTTCTCCCTCAGGTATCTCCTCTCCTTCCCTTCTATCTGGTAGCAGTCCCCTTCATCTCAGAAGTGGGCTTTAGATCTCCTTTGGCAGGCAGCTTGCTAAACTTCTCTCTTGCACTCACTAAAGCAGGTAGATACCATTTTGCTCAGTGCATGTAGCATCTGCGCTGTCCCACAGATTATATGCTTACTAGATGCATGATGTACCGTTGTAGCAAACTAATGGCTGTTGTAAAATAGTGCAAAATGCTGTAGTAGCTGCTGGGCTTTTGGTATTGACTTAGGGTTCCAAGTTATAGCTGTCTGAATAAGAATTAGTACACATATATGAATGTATTTGTAAAACCCTCTCTTCAATTGTGTTAAAACATGTTCTAAATAGTGCTTGAAGAGTGCCATATGGGAAGGATGGAAACCTGAGCTCTGATGGCAGACTGTTTATAATTAACCTAGCTAGGGGGATTTTAAAACAAAAACAATTATCATGCCACAGATAAAGCAAGTAATCTTGGTCTGGTCTGAACTGATCTAACAACATACTCAATATTCTTGTGATATTTTTTTTCCCCCTTCTGGAACAGGTCCTGGAGTTGCTGGCTATCTTACTGCAGGGAGGTCTTCATCTGTTATGCCCAGCGTTCCACCTCCTGTAGATCACGAAGCAGGAGATATTGGCTAAAGGATATGAATGGCCTGTACAAGGGACTCAAAGGCAAAAATTTATTGGCTTAAACCATTGGAATAAATTTTGCCTGCCTTTCCCAATTTCATGACAGTGTTATTCCTTTTTCTATGAATATATTTTTTTTTAGAAAATTTACAATTCTACTGCATTGTAACATAAGAAGAAAGTACTTTGTGGATCAGCCTAAAAGGGTACACAAGATTTTTTTTCTTGCTGTACATAAGCACATTTATTTCTTTATATTTTTGTTTACAAGACTGTGAATCAAAACAATTTTCCTAGTATTTTGTATTATATGAACTAGCATGACTGAAGTTGAACTGCAGTCTCAAAGAATTGGCTAAATCATTTGATCCTCCCAAATTGCACTAGAAGATTCTTCCTTCAAACCTTCAAGTTGGACTTGATCATCCTCTGAGAACTTGACTGGCTTGGTGTTTGTCTACGTTCCCAATCACTAGCATAAATGAGATCCTCATGTGTATAACTGGCTTTACCAAATCAAAAAATTAAAATGCAGCAAAAAAAAAAAACCTATTTAAAAATTACATGGTATATAAAAGCATTGTGTAATTGTGATATGTTCTATACATTATTCAGTATATAAAACTTTCTATATTGAATGTACATTATACAAATCATTCATATGTACATAAAATTTTAAAAAATAAAGGGAACTGAAAGCCTTGTTGAGACAAGCTTGTACTTCTACTGGGTGATTTCTTGGTAAAAGTAAAAAGAAAGTCAAGAGACGTTTATAAATACTGGTCTAAAATTTTATTTTTTGTTAATTTTTTCAGTTAATACGAGTTTTGTTGGCATGAGACAGAAGCATTCTGTATTTTCAGGGGCCTAAATAGACATCACAAGAGCTGCATTTTAGCATCAGCAACAGATATACAAATACAGACATTTCTACAAAACATATAACTTAGGAATTGTAGAGGAGAAATTAGGTCAGTATTTTCCTCCACTGTGCAGTTACATCTTGACAGATGGTCAGCACTGCTTCAGCTCTTTGTCTGAGTGCCAATTAATCCTTTTATGAAACTGTGACAACAAATGAGGCCAGGCTGCAGTGTGTAATTAGAGCGATAAACGACAGCAGCACAATGGGTTTTGTGGCTTAATTCCATTTGAGGAAGGCTGCCGTGACAATGATTTTGCCACTTTTTCACTTTTCAGTCTCCATAAAAAGGATTGGAATTACTGATGTCTTTCACATTATGTTAAGAAATACAGTAATGGCTAGAAAACCAGCTTAACTTCCCACTCCCTAAGAACAGGGCTCAGGATACCTGCATAAAATTCTTCTAATGCCATAGGAGAAAATTAGGCAAGTCAGGGAAATAACTTGAGTGATTTCAGAAACAACTTTATAATATTTTCTTCATTAACTGGCAGGTTAGGCAGGGCCAAGTCAGCTAGAAGAAAATGCTGTATAAAATAAGACGCTAGCAGAAGTTTTTTTAAACAACCAGCTGTAAATGCAAAATGCTATCACTTTGCCATTTAATTTCAACAGATAAATTAGCTGTGATCTTCATCACTGTAACAGCGGCTCAACAGTACCTGGGTTAAATAGTTGCTGAAACCAACACCTGAAGCCAAGACAGTGTTCTCAGTATCACAAAATCTTCACTGAGGAATGTTCTTGTTCACTGAATTATTTATTTGATAAATTTAAAACCAATCAAACTCAGCAATTAAAATGATCTTTTTATTAGTCAAAGCACATTACAAAAAAAGTTGGATACATTTATTTATTTGTTCATTCCCAAAGGCTGTTTAGATTTACCAGAGCTTCCCCCCAAAAAACAAAAAAGTAACTTCACCCAAAATAAAATGGTTAGAAATATGAATATAGTATACTAACACTTTCATCATCTGCCAACAGCAAACAGCTGGGATGATTAATTCTTTTGGGATGGTTTTGCAACATACATGCTCTTAGGTTAGTCTTGTGATTAAATGACTCAGCTCTTCTGCAGAAACAGAAACAGATTACTGAAATTAAGTCAGGGGTTTGTTTCGTTTTTTGGAATCCTCCTCTTTAGGCTGCATGCTTAATTTTAAGAAAAACACTGGGTGAAGGAAGGTTCTCATTTCTGATGCCATCGCAAAACAGAAAATAGCTGTTACAGGTGTGCATTCAGTTGCCTGGCTTGGTCGAGCAGCTCTAATTTTGCAATTGCTGAGAGATGAACTTCATCAGGCCCATCTGCGACTCGTAAAGTCCGAACATAGGCAAACCTGTGGAAATATTAAGATTGTGCCATTTCAACAATGCAGAACAGAAGCTGAGTATCTGCTTTAACACCCTTTCTAATCATGGTATTGGAACACACTGACTGCTTTACATAATATAGGCAAGAATAGCCAGAATTTAGTTAAGTCCCACAGTTTTCAACAGTGTGGTTAATGGAGCTTTAACAAAAGAGCATACATTTGGCAGGATCACACTACATTTTTGGCCAAGACAAATTACTGAGTGTGGTGACTGGAGTTCTAGCAGAGACAAATCTTCTGAACTAGAAATGTAAGAACTATTAACATGCATGCCCACATGCAGTTACTGTACTTTAAAATTGGCATTCTTAAATTGTGATTTGAAATTTAGTTTAAGGTGCGATAAGGGTAAGTTGGCGATATGCAGAAACCATCCTCAGATCAAAATGTTTTCAGTAATTATAATTCAGGCCAGTGCTGGAGCTGCAGGGCTCATGAGTCTTGGGTGGGTTTCTGGTGATGACCCAAACCACAAAACGATTAGGCTACTGGATTTAAATGTCTTTCTGGCTCTGTTTGCACAACAGCTGATATAGCTAAACATTCAGCCCATGAGCTGGGCAAATCTTGGAAAAGGTCAACTTTGGAAGAAACCCAACCACTGCAAAGGTTGCTGAAAAGCTGTCAGTTTTTGCATCCTAAACATTCTTTGGGGGTGGGGGGATCACAATGGTTTGATAAGAGTTAGAGGGGGTGATTGTATGCCCTGCTACTCTCAACTACAGCTGCAGGGAGATGAAAAAGAGACAGTGATGAGAAGGTAAATTTTGTGGGACTGCTCTTTCACCCTTCCTTCTGGGTGCACATGACAGACCTGACTAGGGGAGGTTAATTTAAGCCAGGGTTTATTTACTTTTTCTAACCCTAGTCTAACTGGGCAATGATGATGATGGGTTGATGAAGCATGAGGGTGTTGGAGTATTGTGGGGCATTAAAACCACACATCAGATACTTTAGTTTCCCACAATATTCTGGGACAGCACTTCATTGGGAGTATCATATCTATTTAAACAAAACATTGCTCCTATCCCCAGAAGGAAGAATTAATATTACAAAGGGTGCAGAAGGCTAATTTGGCAGTCCTGGAATAGCTCCAATAATGCTGAGAGTCAGAATAAACTCAGTGTTTACAATTTTCCCATCAAATATGGGCTACCAACAGCTTGGCAACAGTCTTGTTTTGCAAACAGCAAAAATAGGAAGAACTTCGTAGCCATTAACCATATAGCTATTGGGAGGGTTCTGGCTTGACTCTGAGTTGGTATTAATATTTTCCACTTACATGTGAGCCAATGGGAGGTCTTCTGAGAATCCAGCAGCACCACAAATTTGAATAGCACAATCAATCACTTTAAGGACCCCTCGGGGTGCCACCACTTTGATCATAGCAATCTGTGAAGATGTGTTAGAAATTTTTTAGATGGGTGCAGGAATAAAAATAAGTATTTCATGACAAGCAGAACTTTGGACCTGAGGAGATGAAAAGCATCCTAGATTTTGATTTGTAACCGTTCCTAATTCTGAAGGATTCTGGGTGGGAAATGACAAATGGAATAATTCTCTGTTAATGTAGATATCATTCCTATCTTGCTAATATTTCTGCTAATATTTCTATTTATCTGACTCAACATTGCTTTCTTAAATCAACACATAAATAAATAATCACCTAGTAGAGGACAGCCCCAGCAAGCACTCTATAGGATACCCTATCAAACTTGGTCCAGACAAGGCAGATTCATACTTCATTTAGCCATGACGTACCATAAAGCTTTGGCCACTATTTATATCTCAACCTAACCTTCTCTTCAGGTTTTTTGGGAGATCACATGGATTCCATAATAAAATTTAATGGGGATACAGACAATACAATTTAACCAAGCTAACCAATACAAGGTATACAGTATAACTATTTTCAAAATTGAAAGACTATTGCTTTGACAGGTACATAATGATCTGCTATGTATTCAATTATCAACTGTTTAGAATAGTAGACCTGTTGACATCAGTTCACTTAAGCCCATTGATTTAAATTAATCAACCATAAGTAAGACAAATTAAGGATCTAGTCTATTATGTTTCTCAAATACATGCAAATGCTTACGAAAGCCACCATTTTTTTCCCCTCAGCAAAAACAGTTCCATTAGTTTCATACAATTCCTAACAGCCTGCCCCCCTATTCCCTCCCGACACCCAATTTCAGTCCTGTTACCTCTTTCTGGGCAGCTTTGTTGCCCAGGGCATCTATTTTGCTGGCTGCTTTTAATGTAAGCAGCCTTGCCTGTTCAATAGCAATGCGGCATTCAGCAATCCAGTGAGCGACAACTTCCTGCAGGAAAATAAGGCAAAAAGCAAATTAGAAAAGAATACAGTACAGTTTAAAAAACAAAACAAAACTACACACAGTGCTCAAGTAACAAAAACAAACTTGCTCCAACTTTTCCACAGCTCTCCTTGAAAATCAGTTCTTTCCAAAATTACAGATCTAAGCAAATGTAGCAGAAGTCTACTTTTGTAAAATGCTGTGACAGATCAGGTCTGTGAACATTCAATTAACACATAGAAAATTAACACCTTTGACTTTAGACCTGGTAGTAGAAACTGTAGGTTACTATTTTAAAAAGCTTCATTCTCACTTTTTAACAATAACCTGTACTTAACACAAATTCGTGGATACTTTGATGGTAACAACATAGGTTAGAATAGAGAAAGCTGATTATACAGGACAAAGCCTTGGATCCTCTAATCCTGGCTTCCCCTGATGGCTGTGACTCTCTAGTTTTCAAACTAAGATCTTTTCTATCATCTACTCCTCTGATCCTTTTAGCTCAAAAGCGCTAAACACTCCTTTATTTATGGAATACACGAAGCTCTGCCAACTTCATTGAACTGTAGCTCTCAGCATCCCCCATCACTGGCCATGTTGCCTGCACCTGCTGGGAGGACCACACATTCCACATCCATTGCCAAGATTGGACATGGAGCTTTCTCCTTGCAAACTCTGTGACATGGCTGCTCTGAGACTTTAGAGCTTTTCTTTTAAAAAGGCTGACCTGCTTATTTTCTTATAGAAAATTATGTTTATTTTTCTGGAAATAATACGTAAGCAGTCTTACTGCTCCTGGTAATTAACACATTACTGATGAGATGCTGATAATGGAAATCTCAACAATTGTAGTTAGTTCTATTATTAATCTCATGAGCAAAGCTAAGCCATCCTGTTAGAATTGGTCTCGTGCTGCAGAGTCTTTCTCAATTTGATGCAAGGAGGCATCCAAACACAGGTAAATGCACTGTATTAGTACAGACTTTTTTGTCACATAATTTTGCCATCCTGATCAGAAGGAGACATTAATCCATGCTTGATACCACTACCTACCAAACAGAATGACAGCTTTATTGTAAGTGACTAATATACTGATCTCACTGTTGCCTATTATTGCAACAACAGCTCATCAAAGATATAACCTATAATATGCTTCAATGTTCTGAATGATGTACACACACATACACATACATACATACAGAAACAATTAGTTTCCATTTCCTGAAAGATCACTAAGACAAAAAGTTTCTGCTACCCTGTACCTCTGGTTATCAGCTTCATGTTCATCTTCAAGTTGCAAAGAGTTTCTATATACAAGACTACATAATTAGGCTGTGAACTCACATGACGATAGAGCTTCTTCCCAAATGTGACCCTCTGGGCTGATCGCTCACACAGGATCTGGAGAGCAGTTTCAGCTGCTCCTATTGATCTCATACAGTGGTGAATACGGCCCGGTCCAAGTCGTCCTTGAGCTATTTCAAACCCTCTTCCAACTCCTGTATTACAAAGAAAGAAAGGGAAATGCTTCTCTTCCGTTTGGAGGAAATAAATAATTATGTGCTACCTTCTAATGCAAACTGTTCTAACTGGTGACAGCTTTCTAGGGTCTTAGACAGAAAGTATGTCCCATCATCTACTCTCTGATTCTTTTGGTTGTAGGCTGGTAATCTGCTGGGAACCACACCATAAAACAAATGGCCCTTCTCTTACATAAACAGGCACTGCAGGGAGGGGACTGCAAACTCTTACTGTCTGAACTGATCTCTTGCAGAAGGGGCTTAAAGGGATTGATGGCCGCATAAAATTAGGCAAGGAGTGGGCAGCCCTCAGCCTGATCTTTGCAGCCTCCCAAGACTCCAAAATCACATCACAAAATTGCCAATCTTTTACAGAATTTCTTTATGGAGTAAGCCCTGTACTACACCTATTTTGAGTAAACCAACCCTATCTACCTACCATCATGGTCTAAATATTTCACCCTGACTCTTCTGGTCATTATTACCGTCATAATCCCTTTATTATTCTGAGCCCTTTTTTTTTCCTTTTAAGTCAGGACCTGGCCAAAAAAATGTTGCCTGTCTTTGATTAAAAGTGATAGTGCCTTCAGGGGAAAGTTGTTAACTCCTGTTTCAGATGAAGAAGACAAGAACTGAACTTAAGACCTTCCATATGCAAACAAGTCCCTTTCTAATGAAGTGGGCAAATAAATGGTTCTCCCTTCCAGAGTAACTAAAAAAAGAAAATTGGACAATTCCATTCCATTTAATGTTTTTTAACATTTAACTTCCATAAAGTGACACTGATTAACAAATATCTCTGGACAATTTGGTTATACTACATATGGGCTAATTTTCAAAAGGAGACTGGAAATTAATCTTCTGCTCAAAGAATCTGATTATTTAAAAATGCATCAGATGTTAAGCTTTAATTTTAATTATCACGATATCATCTACAATTATCAAAGGGTTTTATTGGAAGGAACCCTGAACAAAATGTAGTATATTTATTTGATTGTTTACTAGAGCTTATATGCCACTCTGACCCAAGGAGATACAGAGCCAGCTTACAAAACTGTTTCCAGTAAGAGGATTAAAAACAGTACATCAAAATATCAAAGAAATAGCAAGGCAAAACATCAAATTGCGCCAAAGGAATAAACAGACATCAAGATATACTAGAGCAGGGGGCCTTCACAACTATTTCCCATCCCAAGCTCTTTGGAATAGCCAGGCCTTAACAGGGAAGGCACTAGTCTACACTGAGGCAGAATAGTATTCCAAAGGAGGCCCACCAACTGAGAAAACTCATCTCTGGTTTCCCAGGGAAAGGAACTTCTCAAAAAATTGACCAAAGAGAAACCAATAAAATCTTCTTGATTTTATTGGACAGGAAGAATCCCGTGGGAATAGCTGGTCCAAAAGACATCTATATCTCAAGCCATTTAGGACTTTATAAGTGACAATCAGCACCTGGAATTGCACTTGAATTAGTCTAAATCCCATTGGTTTGACATATGAGTTTTCCCATGCAGAAAAAAAAAAATACCAAGAGAAAAATGCTTGAAATAAAAAAAAAATGAAATGGAAATGGTTGTATATGTGTAAGAATAATATATCGGGCTTTCCACTATGTGAAGTAGATCTACTGCCAGAAAAGTTCTTCTATGTGCTTTTAAGCTGTTTCATGTCACAGAGAGAATAACCACAAAGTCCTTATTGAATTATGGAGAGGGTCACACTGGGAAAACTGCACATATCACACAATTATATAAAATTCAAGAAACCATGTCAAAGCCAACAGAGATTTGTTGACAATCCAGCAACTGTCAGAAAAGGAGGAAAATCAAGACTCACCCAGTATCAAATGAGAGACAGGGACTCGAACATCATTAAAATGTACTTCGAAATGTCCACCATGAAAATAATCTATAAAATCATGAAGACAATCAAGTATCAGTTGAGAAAAACTGCCAGTGGTGGTATTTGGAAAAAGGAAAAAAGGTCTAAGACAACAGTAAGTCCTTCTGTCTTTGGAGTGGCTGCACAATACACCAAACAGCCCATCAAATGCAAGCAACATTTTAGGAGTGGTAGTACTTCTGCACAGTTCAATCTCTTTGGAATGTCTGATACTTTTTCTATAAGGCCTACTTACCTATCTACCTGGGTGTCTACAGGTTATGTAATGCATATAAAAAAGCCAATTTGTTTGCACCACTATGACTACCATCTTGTCTTTTTTCACCATATCTTGCAGACACCCCTGCTATCACTCTCTATCTCTATCTTCTATCTATTATCTATCTATCTATCTATCTATCTATCTAT